CTCATTGACACTCTCCATATGGATTAGTATCTCCTCCAGTCACTCCCAAGTTCTTCAGGTTTTCCTTTAATAAGTTCACTAGATATATTTAATGTTATCTGCGGGTTATGGGCAGGGTTGGAGCTTTACATTCTAATGCTTTTGTAATGGATTTAATAATTTGATTTTCTTTCTCTTCACAGTAAGACCAAAAAATTGTTTTTTCCCCTATAAAGCAAAATTACTCCACTTTTAAAGAAAATGTGTTTCTCGGCAGTTTCCTCTAGTGTACAAGCCAAATATGCTGGTTTTAGTATCATACAGACAACATCAGCAACATCAAACATTGACAAACGTAAGTCAGGCCCTCCAGAATAATGGTGTAGAATGAAAAAATAATTTTTAAATGGTTCTATATATTAGGTACTGGACTCTTTTCCTCTGTTCATGTTTTCTGGATTCTCAGTGCAACCAGAGACTAAAAACTTACTCTTTTAAAAGGAATTAGATTTTCCCATAATCAAATGACCCCAGGAATGGGAGCTTTAAAAAAATGAATATTCTAAGTTTCAAGATAAAATCATTAGATCTGGCAATACTGGTTGCAGCTTACGTTGGTTATGTTTCATTAAGTTATATACAGTACATAAAACAATTACAAGCTTGTCAAGGTCAGTTAAGAGCAAATACAAAATTTAGTAGTAACAAGGTCTGACCACTCACTGATCACCAGAGAAGAGAGGGAGAACAGAGAATAGACATTTCCTTTTCTCTTAAACCTCACTTACATACGACATCAGGTAAGCGTGATTTGTTGGGAGCCGTCTGCACAGGGAGAATATTATTTGGTTGTTATTGGTGCTGAGGGACAGGGAATGGAAATGTCTGGGGTTTCTTTTTCTTCTCCCCCCCAACCTTAATTTGCTTGCCTTCCTCAAGAAAAGACCTTGCTGTATCCTTTCTGCTGAGTCATTTCTCTAGAGGACGCCAATTTTAGGGACTCATTAAAAGAAATACCTCTTCCTAAAGAAAATCCCAAGAGTGCTTCAAAGCACTGTCCAAGCTCTTTCTGCGGTGGTTTTATTCCGTAGTTTTCTGGTATAATTATGTTTTTTTCCTTTGGGTTAGACGTGCTGAGCAGTGACTAGTTCAGTTACACCTCTTGGATCTTGATTGTAACTCTTATGTGGGACTGGGACTTTCGGGGGACTTTGATGGGACTTTTGCCTTGTCTCTAGTGGGATAATCTTAATTCTTTCATTTGAGGGAAATACCGGTAGATTTTGTCGCTTCAGCTTTCTTATCCTATATGCATAGTCTCTGATTCAGATTTGTAGTTCTCTCAGGCTGCCCGTTCAGATCAATAATAAACAGAGTTCCTCACCTCCAAATATGCCTTTTTTTCTATCTCTACATACACACGTGCCTTAGTACATTTTGGTGATACTGTATTTGCTTCCTTACTGAAGACAGTTTGGTCTCCATAAAGGGCAGATGCCAATATCCTAGAAAAGGACGTACTGCCATTGGAGGATGTGACATTTCAGTCGTTTTATGCCCAAATAACATAATTTGTTACTAATGAGTCCTCTTTCCTTAGCATCATGTATGATAAATCCTTTTGTATATCTGTTTCATGGTCAGACTTAAACGTGAGGTCACTAGAGCTGTACATTTACTGCTCCAGAGTTTTCCTGAACTTTTGGCCTCCTTCGCCTGGGACTGTTCCCTCTGGGTTGGGATTCACGGCAGGCGCTTGTGTGATATATAGTTACAGAACTGTTTGCCCATCTATCTGTGTTTTTCTTTCATATCTCTAATGAGGAGGTTCCTAAATGTCATTTGACATATTCTAATGTGTGCGTGGCATCAATTATAGTTCGTTCTTTATTTTACTTTCAGCTGTATTCCTACCTTTAAGCTCACCCTCCCCTCCCTTTTCTGCTGCCCATAGAGATGGCTCCTTCCCTCCCCTCTGGTTGCCAGGGTGACTGGGCTTCCCTGATGCGGATGCTCTTGCCTTGGCTCCTTGCCATCCCTCTCCCGGAGACTGGAGTTTTCGCTTTCCCTCGGATGGTGAGGACTCCTGTTTGCTCTTCTGCCTGCCCAGGCAGCTATTCTCCCTTCTAAGCAGATCTGGTTTAGCAACAGCTAAAAGGACAAGTGAGTTCATGTGCCTGCAAGGTGGGATCAGCCAAGCCTCTGAGGGAAGTGGAAGTCACCTTGTATGATTTTTCCTTTTTTTTTTTTGACTCTCATCCTTCTCCTTGAGCTGGAGTCCAGCCAGTTGTCACTCTCTTAATGTGGCTGTGATGATGAGAAAAAGGACTCTAGAGTGGTACATATGCAGCAGAGGTAAAGCCTTTTTTATTTGTATTTCAGAATGGATAAATTCAATTTCCAGTGTTAGTGACATTGGAAAATGGATCCTTGCAGTACTTGTAAGCACATTTACGCACAGAGGTTTTGCCAAGCTTTAACTCAGAAATTAATAAACCTCAGGATAGGGCATCTTTGAATTCAGGTGTGGAATTGCAGGTTGTTCAGAAACTTTATTGAAGGAATTTGACTGGTTTTTGTCACTGAGCAAACAGATATCGTGTAATCTTTATGTTTAGCCCAAAGAGCCAAAATTTCAGATGCTGCATGCCTGTCCCAGGTTGCAGGTAAATATGGCCCCATCTTGGAATCACTTTCAGAGGTCAGCAAGTGAACAATTTTGGGTTACAAATCAACGTAGAGTTGCAATTTGCCTGGGTGTGACTCAGCCGCAACCAAGTAGTAGTATTTTTAGTCAATTAAGATCTCGGAGTTATTTGTCCAGTTCTAGCTAAAATGCTCTTTTGAGATCCCAGTAAGAAAATCTTAGGTGTTGCAGGCTAAGAATTTAGGGATGGAAATTTAGGGAATTTTCCATCCCTGGGGATGGAAAAACTACTATTTAGTAGTTCCTATTCTCTGCTTTTCCACAAGGCATGAGTATTTTGTCTCGTATATTCCCCTATGTTTTCTCTGGCATAATTTTAAATGATTCAAATAATAGGACTTTTAATACTCTGTTCTGTGCCTCTGGGACACAACGACGAAGTGCATTAGACTGGTGCTGTAAGCATAAATTATGTATTGTTTCCAAATATTTGGACAAATGGGGTCCTTTGCTCAAGTTCATCCTTCCTCCTCTCCTCTGCACTTTAAACATTCCATCTTTTGAGCTTGTTTCAATCCAGTTTGCTTGTTCTTAAAGTAGTGATATATATGCAGATCTCTAAGTAGTAATGTCATCTGTGTTTTATAGGAAATCCAGGAACAGCAGCTACACTGCAGCTACCAGATATAACCCTCAACATGCTTCCTGTTCTAACATACGGTTAATTATTTTTAAAACACACAACATACCCCATCTAGCTGAGCTCTGAAACATTATGTGCTTGTTCTTTTGCATGAAAGGTATTTATAAAAGCTTTTTCTGCAGTGCTTGGGAAATTAAGATAAAATGCATCGGGCTACTTCCATTAACAAAGTTAGCCGGAAGCACTTGCTAGAGCAGAGTTTGTAATGTTTTTACATCTAGCTTTAAGAAGGATGTTCTATATTTAAAGCACTTCCTTGGAAGAAGCATTGGAACAGTGTTACAGTTTTTCCTGCCAAAAGTAATAGCTGTGGAAGGCTGCAAGAGCACCAGACTTACTACTGAAAGGTAATAGTCTTCCTATGCAAATGTAAGTTAATATTCAAGGGGTTAAATGGAACAGGGAATGAGCTTAAATTTCAGCCTTCCGTGCAGTCCTTAGTTTTATTCAAAGACATCAAATATCATGACATATCTTCACCATGACTGTGCTGCTTTGACTTACTGCTTGAGCAATAAAATACATACAGATTTTTGTATTGTGCACGCCATGCTGTGCTATAAATGTAAAAATGACTTTATTCATCAATATATGATACTCTGCGGAGTGTCTTGTCTTACAGCAGTGGTTGGGGCAGGGAGTTTATTTGACCTGGATTTCCTCAACACTTCTGGAATGGCAGTTTGCAAATGAAGTGCAGGATTCATTAAAGAGATTAGTTGAGGTTATTTGATTAATTTGGACATTACTACATCTGAAATAACTTGGGATTGTTACTTTCCTCTGTTTTATTATTAGAATAGCAAATCTTTAAAATGCTGAAATAGTCACAACAACGTTATAGAGAAGATCCTTCATGTATGATACAGGTTTGATTTATCTGCCCTGAATTAATGTGGATGACTTACTTGAAAAGGGTTTAAATGCAGTTAGCAGTTCAGCTAGTATTTGGCACTACTCCTACTATATGTACATATATATGTGGGCAAATACAGAATTCTACTAGCATGGAATCACGATTTTTGGAGGTGCAGCTTTTAAGTATCAGTATCTGTGAAAATACTTCATCTGTCTCTCATCCTTTAATCTTTACGCAACTATTGAAATGTAACATTATAAAAATTAATGAGTATTTCTTCCTCTTTAAAGATTTGCCTGTATTATCACCAGGGAAGATACCTGGCTGTTTTAAAAGTAAAAATGTCAGAGGAAAATATTTCTTTAGCTGATGTGTCCAAACGAGAGACTGCTTTTAACTAGAGAGTAAGGTGTGTTGGAGAGAAAACTCCACAATGTTAGTTTGAGAGTCTCAGTGCTAACAAGTTAATATAACTTACACTAGCAACTGCTTCTTAAGAAGGAAGAACAATGCCGTATTAGAGAGCTGCAATATCTATTCTGTCCAGAAGCTCTTTCCTGTGTTTTAGCTAACAATTATTAAAATACTTTGTTCACATTATTCTTAACTGAATATCACTTTGAAAATGATAGAACTAATTCAAGCCATCGTTGCATTTTCTGTTATAGACCGTTCCGTTACCAGCGACAGGTTTGAACCTCATCGCTATGGATTTTCTGTCTCTCTTTTATCTTTTTAATGATGTATTCCTAGCAAGACAGACAAATTTCTTTTAATTCTGTAGTTAGACCAGTTAAAAAGGACTTACTTACCCTGTCTTCTTCAGCTCTTAAGTCTGGCATTGTGCTAACACAAAGGCTTATAGCTGTGGTGGCCACAAAGAGAATGGAGAGACAAGCAAAGACTTTGCCTGGGACTCCTGACTGGGGATTTTCTACCATATCTCTGAGTCTGGTCATAAACTGTCCAAATTTGGTTTTCTCATCCAAGACACATATAGCTTCTTTGCTCCTCCGAAGCTCCTCTTCTTTGCGTACCTCAGCCAACTCCTGCAGTTTTTGAAATAGTTTTCGAAAGCAGCAGTTCTCCAGGTTGGATTCCTCAATCCCCCAGTATCTCAGCTCCTCCTGAAAAGACAAGGCACACATGTCCCTTAAGAGCATCAGCTTTCCTGCTGCTAGAAAGCTGACAATCATCCCAAAAGCATTGGGGTTCCTGTCAAAGAAGAACTCATGGGTGTCTTCATCGTAATCGTCACACAGCTGAATTATTTCTTCATAGCTGCTGCAAAACTTAAGTTTGCTCAGTCTGGTCAGGGGAAATTCATCTAAAGTACTCCAAGGTAGCAGGTACTTGATGCCTCCAACATTTATCATGATCTCTGTCTTTAGATCAACTGCAGAGACTTGATCAGGATGGTAAATCCTCCTGGCTCTTTGGTAATGGACCCCTTTGGCAGAAGGGGTTTCAATGGAGACAGGAAAGAAGTGGCTCAAGGAATTACAAGAATTGTAGCTAATGTTACTATAGTCTTGGTCACTGCCTCCGGAGAGAATAGGCATCTCTAAGAGTTCTCACTGGGACGTCCGAAATGGCATCAGAGCAGGGTTATCTGTCAGCCAAAAGATATAGGAAGGAGGAGAAAACATAGTAGAGGTTATTGCAAGAGAAAAGGTGTTTCAGGCTACTTTCCTAAATCACAAAATTAGCGAGTGCCAGTTTTGTAAGTAAAAGTCACCTCTATGCTTCTTCCTGAAATCTGCAGCCTGTGAATGTGATTTGCTTTGCAGCCTCATTGGTTGTCTGGCAACACACAGACACAGAGGAGAGCTAAAGCCTCATTCATAATTATCGTGAAGGGTCGGATGCCTGCAAATCCAAATGTGAACAGATCGGTCTCTTCTCCCAGCAGATCTCGGTCATCGTTAGATCGTTGTATTTTCTGGTGGTTGTCGTGTTGCTTTCTTGTTTCTATAAACCCTTAAATACACGCTAACTCAACTAAGCTGCTTAATAGTTATTAGAGTTAGAGTGGTCAATTACCTGCCATCAGCTGGATGTGAAGTTCTTAATTGCTTTAACTTGAATGCTCAGATTGCAATTCCTCTTCCTTTCACTGCACGCCTGTTTTGCCTGCCTCTCAGGCATATTGCAAGGATTAGCTAGTAGATGTTTGTGAAATGCTTTAAGAGGTAAAGTGCTGTATAAATGATGACTATTCTTATCAACCCAGTCTCATGTGACTGCAAATTACTGAGAAGATATAGGGAACATTTACCCACCCTGGAGAAAACTTTGTTAGACAGACAGAAAGCAAAAAGTATTTTGTCAGCTCAGGAAGGGGGAGAAGCAATTGAAAGACACCTTCCCTTCACTTCCCCCTTTCAGGAGCAAACCCATGTTTTTGTTCATAATCTCTAAAGATTCAAAGGCATTTATTACCCCAAGACAGTGAACTGCAAAAATTGCAAGGAAACTTCCCCGAAGTTACTTACCATCGCACCACAGGCTGCTGCCCGGTGCCTGGCTTCCCCGCGGATGAAGTACACATGCCGCAAACTGATCAGCTGTCCTCTGAGTTACGATCCAGCAGAAAGACCTGGGGATATTTTATGGTATTGATTACAGGAAAAATCACTATAGCACTCTGGAGATCGCAGTCTCTTTCTTCTTTCTCTTTCTCTCCTTCTTCCCTGGAAGGGGAAAATATTCATATGTGTTCATATAATATATGTTGTACTAAAAGACCCTTTGCAAAGGAGACAGTGTCCTAAGTGGCAGCTCCTCTTCCGGACTCCTGGGGCTTCCTGGTGAAATATGCTGAGTGAGAGCTGGTGGATCCTGCCCGCTCCCTGTCTCTCCTCTGTTTCCCTTGGGACTGTCAGTGTGGTCCTGGAAGAGGAGGGGAGAGGGAAGGGGGAAGGGCTTAGAAATAATCTCTCCAGCATCACTCCGTCTATTCAGCAGGCAGCAGGCAGCAACTGGGTAAGAACATGGAGTACAAAGACAGTCTCCAACTAATGAGGTTTAATAATAAGTAAATTCTGGCAAACCTACTTAATAAAACAATTTCAATGTCTATTAACTCCTTCCCTTATAGTCATACCACAGTTGCTTGCTCTGGAGACACCAGTCAAATTTATCGGGAGCAGTTTCCATGTCCTGCATCCCTCTTGAAATTGATATTTGCTCTTAGATATCCCTAGATGGAGTGGGAAGTTTTTTGGGTCCATGGATGCTGGGCCTCAGCATTCCTTTGGCTACTAGGGACATGCTTTCCTCCTGTAAAAGAAAGGGTCTCTGGCATGCAAAGAATAGCTGCTGAGCACTTTCTTTTCCAGATCTGCAGTGCTTTTCCAACAGCCAAGAACTTTCTCCTCTCTTCTTTACAGATGATGGGAAATCAAACATAATCCTTTTCTGACATGTCTCATACATGGCTGTAGGGGGGGTGAGCTTGCTGTAATTCTTTCGGGTTCTGTACTGCCAGAAGGTCTTGGGCTGCCTCAGTCTAAAATTGGGATGACATGGATTTGACCCAATATTCTACTTGCTTGGCCTCAGTCAGTGGGTTCAAGAAGCCTATGATCAGATCCTATTGACAAGTACCCTCTGTGGTACTCCCAAATGCAGTAAGAAATGCCTTAGCTTATGTTTATCCCCAGTGTGGCTGAAAGCACTGAATCTGAATCCTATTACTAGAGGTGTGTGTGTGAATCTGTAGGACTTACATGTCCCCTGTGAGTATGAAGGTCGTGTGGAGAAGTGTTATCAGCTTGGATCACAGAGCTGCTTTTCTGCCATTTGCACAGTGGGTACAAGGTGCAGGTGGTGCCCTTCGCTTGCACTGTGCTGCTTACCCTTGTAACGTATGTGGGACTTGTGCACTGCTGAACTGACGCACCTTGGAAGCAGATGTTGCAGCTGTCTATCAGCGCTGAGCAATGCTATGGCACAGCCTAGGATGGGAAGCCTTTGCTAATTGGACTTTTTGGCACATCTCTCTTGGCCCATGTGGTGCCCAGAAGATTAACTTCTTATCAGGCTTCACCACTGGGGTTTTCACTCAAGTCCTAATTATGCCATCCACAGAGAAAGACCAGATAGATGCCTGAAGGCAACTGAGTTCTGGGAGCATAGCTTAAATCCTACTACCTTTGTGCAAGATGCAGTTTGCTCTGCCTCTCAGTCTTTCTTATGGATTATTTTTGCAAAGAAAAAGCAAACCTATTCTAATTAACTTTGGATGGATTGTTTCACAAAAGGATAAAACCAATTAGCATTTCCTTCTTACCTTGTGAAGCCCTTGTGTGGTGGTGTTAAAGGTTGTATTTCTGAAACCAGCTGACAAGAAGGCGAATAAATCCAAAACAATGAGTAAATGTTGTACATAACTGAGTAATTTGTTACTTATTTATCAAGAAATACATATATTTTAATTTTTAAGACTTCAGTTCCAATACTGGGTACTCTAATATTTGCTTTATTGGGATCTGCAGCTGTGTCTATAGCTAGATCAGGACCTCATTGCCGGCTAGAACCATAAAAGTATCTGTCAGTCAGTCCTTAAGAGTCATCTGTCTTCATAAATGAGACAGAGAAAGTATAGAAATATTTTTATCTAAATTTTATTAACAGGAGATGAAGGCACAAAAAAGAGACATACTTTATTTGGTGTCTGAGGAAGCAGGGCCCTGAACCCAGCTCTGAAGGTCTTAAACATGTAACTTACTCCCGAAGCTGTCCTTCTGCCCTGGCCAGTCTCTGCCTTCTGCTCTCCTGGACCCTACTACCATGTCTCTATGAGAGACCCCTTAGTAGTGGAGTATCTAAAACTATTAATGCTGATACCCCAAATTGAAATCTTTCCCCAGGTGGGAAAGGCATATTCCTGGCTCAATTCTAACCTCTGCTGACTTGTTTTTTCACTTTTTTTTTTTGTTTTTCGTAACTTCTGCTGTAGTTTTCCCTTTGGACCTGCCCTATTCATTATGAAGTTCATAATCTTCATTCAGTTTTTCTGTTCTCTATTTATTTCCTTTACAGTTTCTGGAATTGCTGTCTCCTTGCTCCTTAGCCATCTGGTCATGTCAACTTCTTTTACATGCCCTTTATGCCTTAAATGCAGTTTCCATATGCTTCATTTATTTGTTGACATGAATGACATTCCTGTCTCCTCCCTGTTGTTTCCCCCCTTTTGTTGTTTTGCCATTCTACTGTAATTTGTTTTAGACCTGTCTCTCGCATCCGCTTTGTACAAGGGCAACATGCTACTGCTGAGAAGAAAGCTGAGCAGAAGAGGTAGTTCTTACCCAAGTGGCTCCAGGGAGAAAGCAATTGCACACTGTTGTACAGCTCTCTCAGCTGGACTAAGCCTAACCCTACGTAAACCAAGGTTAAAGCCTCAATCTAGGCTGTATGGTAACTGATAGTGTAACTCTTACTGAATTCAAATTCAAACACACAGAGCAGAGATCTACTAGGCTGGCTTGAAAGTTTGTGAGTATGATGGTGCAGTTATCATCACGTCCCTGTGACACGCACAGGAGAATCTGGTAAGAGACATCCATTACGGTGAACAGATTTTTCTTTAGTTCAATAATGAAATCATTAGCAGGACTAGTATTTAGATATTGATAATAGTTAAATGCTGTAGAAGATGGGAAAGCCAGTGACGTTCACTGGCACTTGCTTACCTATGATGTCATCTCCTGTATTTTGTTCTCTGCAATTATGCCAGAATCCTGTATCAAGCAGCAGATACATACAGAATATAGATATACAGAAGCAAGCACTTTTTTCACAAAACACATAATAAAACTGTAGAATTTATTGGCACATGATGTTGTGGTGGCCAAAAGCGTAAAGTATTCTGAAAAGGACTGAGCAAATTTATGCAAGGAAGGTCCACCAGGTAGATCCAATGTCTGGCACGGAAAGTCAGTAATCCACATATTGCTGGGCAGCAGGGAGGTATTTTACTACAATGTATATGCTTGCCCTGTTCTGTTTTTTCCTAGATTTTTGATAGATGATGCTGCTGCACAGACCCTGGTGTGACCCTGTGGAGATGTTCTTACGCTGAGAAACCTGAGGAGGGTGGCCTAGGCTCTACTAGTTTGATCATGCATTTCTGGGTTGATCATGCACTACTTACCTGACAGTATTTCTCTGTCAGAACAGCAAAAAAGAGCTGAAGACAAAACTCTGATTATAGATGTATGTGCATGTATATATATCAAGACTAATGATGTCTGTATATAATGGGCAATCTCACAAAGGGGTAGGCTGTACACTCTGAAATTGTATGTGCTTGCAGGTCTTCCAATCATTCTGCAGGGAGCAGGCATGTAATTTGATAAAGGCGCTGTTGTCAATCTTCCTTCCTTCCCAACTGGGCTTTTTGTAACGCTTAAATATAATACAAAGAAAATTACTTTGCCTGGCATCTATAACAGAAGACACATTTCAGGCTTTTAAAGTCAGAGAGAAAACAAAAGTGTAAATCAAAATAATTATTTAAGGAAATATGAATGCACTGAAAAAGAGGAGAAAAAATAAG